TGGGGTGGGCTGTGGGGGAAGCCGGCATACATTCCCAACACATCCCTTCCCCTTTGGTCACGGTGCAATAACGATGCCCAGAGGTGTGCCTGGCAGGGGCTCAGCCCCCACCCCCCATCCCCACCCCGCCCTTGGGTATTCCAGGCACTGGTGGAGAATGCAGCTGCGTTTTCATAACGACAAAGGCAACTTAATATATTCAGCTTATTTAAAGTATTGAAGAAATAAAACCTGACGATGGTCAAATGCTTCTGGGCTGGACTGGCTTTTGCTGCAGACCCAGATGGGGGAATCTCAAATTCTGTTGATTCTCTTTGGGTCCCTCCCCCCATTTTCCAGCATTATGATGATGCCGTCCTATTCCTGTACCAGGTTGTGAGGCCCCCCCCCCCCAATCCCTGCCTACAAATGTGGTCATATTTTTGACCCTTTATATACATACATATACAGTACCTATGGTTTCATAGACCTTTTTAGGATGGGACCCCACAGGCTTGGGCCCACTTTCAGATTTCTGTGTTTTTGGCCCTGCATGTTTTTAAAGGGAAGTCTCGTTTTGCGCATCTTTCCTTCTGAAGTGCTGTGCGAGACGTGCGGTTTCCTCAAGGGCTGCGCTCTGTTTTGTTGCCCGCCTTGCAGAGGCCCGAGTGGATCTCTCCGTGCAGATGGGGGGGGGATACCTTTGCCTTGGGGATTCCCAAACACTCCTCTGTGAGGCCCGATCGGACGCTTGTTTCCAGAAAGGACGGAAGCACTGGCAGGCAGGTGGGCTGAGCTTCCTTTAGGAGACTCTCTCTGGGCAGGGGGGTCACCCCCCCCCATGTCCACCTGGAGCTGCAGGAACATCCCTACCAGATTTCCCCCCCACACACTGTCCCCAGGGCACCAGCTCTGGATGAGAGTTGCCAGTAAGCCCCCACCTCTCCCCTGGAACATCTCCCTGGGCTGAGGACTGCAGCAGTCCCAACTGCTGTGTTGGCAAGGCATGTCTAGCCTGGGTTTGGCTGCAGTGCAGGATGAGGCCTGGCTTGTTATGAGTCTCTCAACACACTGCCCTTCATCCTATACCATGTGGGGGTGGGGGGTTAAGTCATTGCACATTGCTTCAGGAGGGCTTACTCCAAAAGGCTCCAATGCTTTGGCCACCTCATGAGAAGAGCAGACTCCCTGGAAAAGACCCTGATGTTAGGAAAGTGTGAAGGCAAGAGGAGAATAATGGAGACGACAGAGGACGAGATGGCTGGACAGGGTCATTGAAGCGACCAGCATGACTTTGACCCAACTCCGGGAGGGAGTGGAAGACAGGAGGGCCTGGCGTGCTCTCTGGTCCATGAAGGGGTCACGAAGAGTCGGACACGACTTAACGACTAAACAACAACAACTCTAAAAGGCAGCCTATCGCTTAATTTGTAAAAAACAATCTGGCAAATACAGGTGCCCCTCTCTGTTGGCCTGACCCTCGCCTGCCTCTCCTCCTCCAAGGGGAAACTCTGTGCCCTCTAGGATAATCAACCCCACCACTGCGCCTGGTGCGTGTGTGTGTGTGTGTGTGCGCTTCAGTTGGCAGCACTAATGGAGAAACCTCTGTCGAAACAGGCTGCTCTGTGGAAGGCCGGCGCAGGCTCCCCATCTGGTGCAGGTGCTGGCTCTGCCCCCCCCGGCTGGAGACCCGGTGGGTCTCCACCAGTGTCTGGAAGAACTCCGTGGAGCTCCAGTTAGCGCCAGCCCGCCATCGTGCCCTCCTCCAGAGCAGCCCAGGAGCCCGTTCCCCAATTGGAGAAGGCTTGCGTCTTTGCCCTCCGCTGTAACCCCAAAGCGTATTCCGGGACTATGTTATGTACTAGCGTACTTATTATGCTGTCTGTTTCCTGGCCTGTCAGAACCGCTTGGACTTAACGTGCCATCATTCTCTCCAAAGTCGGATTCATGGTCACTGGCAGGGATCGAAAGAGGTACAAATAAAAGCCCCCAAGAGTCAGAAGGTTAAAACACAATTTAAACCAAAAGCACTGTTGGATTAAAAAGCCATTTAAGAGAAAATTGGTTTTAAAAACAAAACAAAAGCCCACCAATCCATTTGGAGCCTCTCCCTCGGTGTGAAATCATCTGACAAAGGTCTGCCGGAGTAAAATAGTTCTTTCCTGCTCATGGAAATATGGGAGGGAGGGAGGAGGCCAGCCTAGCGCGTGCGCCTCCCGCCCCCTGTGGAAGGGAGTTCCATTGCCTGGGAGTCACTACCAAGAAGGGCGCCTGTCCTGCTCTGGGCGCTTGCAATGCCCTCTGGACTCTTGGCTTCCATAGACACGTTGAACACGATGGGAGGTTGGGCTTGGGATGTAGTCGTAGGCAGCCATGTGAGACCCAAAAAAGGACATACGTGTAAAAGGGGAAGAGAGAGAGTTCCGTTAAAGGCTTCCTGTTTGTGGATTGTTTGCAGAGAAACACTGGTGTGGCCACACGCCTGGCTTTGGTATGCTACGTAATGGATGTATACTAGGAGGAGAGTCTGTCCCTCTGGTCGATGGGGCAAGTGAAAACAGTTAGTCGCCTCTTGGTAAATTATAATCTCTCTGTTTCAAAGCTGGGCTTTTCTTTCCTTTCCTTCAATAATGTACAGTCTTACGTCCAGCAATCCTGTCCTGGTGGCTGGAAAGTTTGTCCATGGCTTCCTGAAGAAGGTTGCCTTCCTGATCTCTGGCTGGCAGCCACTTCCTCTTTGTCCAGAGCACAAGGCAGGCAGGCTGGGCAGGGAGAGCAGAGGCTGGGACATTGGGGAGCAGGCATGCAAGCCCTGGCACAAGGCAGCGGACCTTCTTCGGCTCCCGTAGTGGAGTCGTTCGGGTCGGTATGGGGGTCGGAGTGAGCCTCCCGATGTGTTTCTGGGACAGCCTTTCAGTGGCTGTTGGGTGAAAGGCCAGAAAGGGAACCTGCAGAGCAGGCGACAGCCCCCGCCTGCCGTGAGCTGGCGTGCGTTCCCTGTGCATGGCACCCTCTTGTCCAGACTTGAAAACATCTCTGTTCACAGGAAGCATCACAGGAAGCAAACTGGGGGCTGTGGTGGGGGTGGGTGGGGCATTCCTTGAGCAAGGGGGCCATCCGCCCACCCTGCCTCAAGACATCCCCCTCGAGAAGCGCTGAAGACGCGCCATTTCGCTCGCAAGGTGAGCCCCGCAGGAGCCTTTGCCCATCTGCTGGAAGCTCCCCTAAGCACGGAGTCCTCTTGATGTAACACCAGCTGGCCATCATCCTGTGTCACAAGCCGGGACTAAAGCAGGGGGTTCCCCGAAAGCCCCAGCCTTGAAGGGCCGAAGGGCAGCCGCCCATCTCAGGCCCGACGTTTCTTCCGCTCTGTCCTTGCTGCCTTCTCACAGATGTACTGACTTCTGGAACTGCAGGATTTGTCTTCTAATCTGCCTTTTACCAGGGCTGCACAATTGTAGTAGTAAACTGGAGTCCTGGAAGGTAGAGAGCAGCCTCGGGAAAAGAGCAGCCATGTCAGCTCCTGCCTTTCTTTCCCCTCCCGTCACAGACTCCTTAGCGCCCACCTTCTGCCAACCCCGTTCTTGCGCGAACAGCGGCTGTCTGCTGGCCAGGGCCCACCACTGGCCCTTCTTGCCCGCCACGGTCTTCCTGGCAAGGGATCTCGGTAAGAGGGGCTTCCCCCTACCCACCCCACCCACCCCAATCTGCAACTTTTTTAACAAGCAGGGCTCCCAGGGATCCGACCCTGCAGCGTCCACGCGCCAGGTGTATTAAGACCTGAGCCCCAAGCGGTGGCCCCTTCCCTGCCCCAGAGCAGGCTGCGGTTGCTGGCCTTCCTGTGGGCGTCCTGGTCTCCAGAACGGGTGTGGGGGGTGGGCTTGCTTGGAGCAGCAGAGAAGCTGGGGGCGGGGCAGGGAGGGGCACTTGTTTCTCCCTCCCCCTCGCCCCAAAGTGCCTTTTCTCTGAGGTGTGGGATAAAGACCATGCTGGGCAGGAGGCAGAACAGCCGCCGGAGGGAGCAGCGCCCGGACCTTGGTCTGCGGGAGGCTACACCTGAGTGGAACGAAGAGGGTTGCATGAGCCTTTCCCTGAGGCCTCGGAGCCTCTTGGTGGCCAGAGGACAGGGCGGTGGGCCGGCAGCCTCCTAAGGCAGGGTCCTCTATCGCCAAGGGGGCAGGACCGGGCAAGGTTGTGGGTTCTCATGGCCGAAGGACTGGGGCTCTGTCCGTGGTTCCCTCCCTGCCAGAGCCGTTCCTGCAGGACCGTCTTTTGTCCCAGACTTACCAGGAAGAGGATGAGCCGTCAACCCAGACCCAGGATTGTCCTTTTTGAGACTGTATCATGTGCAGTCCGATCCAATAATCGGATGAATATAGAAAACCCTTGAGTTAGGAGATGAAAAGAGGAGAAAGGGTTGCACCAGATACAAAGGTTTGTACAGGATGTTTAAGCACAGGCTGCTTTTTCTAATCACCTGGATAGACAGTTCAAGTGAGAGGATAACTGATGACGGGACAGAATGACTGGTGATTCATGCTGGTGAAGGATATCAAGCGCCCATGAGTAGCCCTGTGGAATTGGAGAAGGGCTTCCTTTCATTCCCATGCCAATCCCAAGAGTGGGGGTTGGGAATCTTGCAGAGTCAAGGAGGCAGTCAGTCGTTGCCGGAAGATGGTTTTGGGCGCTGGATATGGGAGACGCTTGCTGCATTGAGAGCAGCCCCAGGGACTGTCATTCTGCCAAAACCCTCTTGGGCCTGATGGGTCTGGATCTGATGCCACAGTGCCCTGTTTTGGTCTCAGGCTGAACCCTAGCAGGGTTTCCCCAAAAGATCCTTGGAAGTATTTGGAAACAGAAGGCTGCTGGGCTAAGGATGCCTTCGTTCTGAACTGGTAGGGCTGGAGACCCCCACCTTGGATGCACCTCTCAGTGGGTTGATGGGGTTGGAGTGTGTCAGAAAATCTGCAAATAAAACCATCCAGGAGGCCAGACTTATGATGAACCCAAACCTCCATGTTCTCTCTCCTCCCCTCCCCCCACCAGCAGCACCACCCAGGGCAGAATGGCCACAGCTGAGAAACCACACTGAGAAGCATCCATTCTCATCAGGAGGATGGAAGTTCCAGCGGGACTGATGGGGGCAGAGAAACCCCTGAAGGGAGCAACTAACTGGGCAACAGCTGTAGCTGAAGGTCATGCCTGCAGAGGATCTTCCACAGAAAAACAGTAGTGACACTCAAGCTAACCTTTGTTAGTATTTCACAGGAGAAAGCAATGGTGAACCACTGCTGAATCTTTCCTCCCTTGAAAACCCTATGACAAGACAGCTCAAAATAAAACAAGAGATAACTGCTGGAAGATGAGACTCCTAGGTTGGAAGGCATTCAACCAGCTACTGGGGAAAAGCAAAGGACAAATGGCACAGCTGCTAATGACACAATTAGATTAAAATGGTATAAACATCTAGTGGTCCAGCATGCACAGACATGAAAGTCTGATGCACATGCATTTGGAACATGTAATGTGAGAAGTATGAATCAAGGTAAACCTGAAATCCTACAACAAGAAATGTAGAAATATCACAGTACTTGGTGTAAGTGCACTAAACCGAACCAGAAGAAGACACTTTCTATCAAGTAACTAAAATGAGTTTTTATCTGGAAATGATTAAATCGAAAGAAACCATGGGGCTCTAATACAGAAGCAAAAGGTAGCACAAGCAATTAGAAGCTATAGGGAAAGCTGTGACCGAATAATATCAATTATACTTCTTGGAAAACCTAAGCATCATCCAAGTCTATGTTCTAACTATGGATACTGTAGGGAAGAAACTGTAGGGAAGAAACTGAACAAACACCAAAACGTGCTGATAAACAGAGGTGGCTGGAAGACAAATATAGGAAACAAAGCAGAACCAAATATTGTTGGAGAATTTGGCCTATGGATCAAAAACAAAGCAGAAGAATGACTCACAGAATTCCGCGAAGCCAGTGTCTATTTATTCCAAATACATGCTCAAGCATTGATCAGACAATTCTACGTGTGGAAATCATCAAAACATCATCTACAAAACTGGATGTAGTAAATGGAGATGCTGTCTTTGCGAAAAGTAGACCAGGAAGAGATTGTGGTACTAACCATTTTTGCCTTCATATCTTACTGTTGTTATGATTTTTATTGCTATAAATTGTGCAGAATGGCCAGATAGACAGTATAGAAGTCCAACCAACCAACCAATCAATGTAAAGCTGAAGAACACATGCACAAAAACATAGTGTCAAAATATAATTTCAATAATATTTCTGATTAATTTGAAGTCCATATGAAAGAATAGATTTGGATTCCTAAACTGGACTGACTATGAACCTTGAAACTGTGGCTTGAAACCAGAGATGTTACCATGGAAGAACACACACAGAAACACACAGACACACACAGATACACACACACACACACAAAACTATTCCTCTCTTCCGTAAGAAACAAAGGCCTAGACAGATGACTGAGGAAACAAAATGGTTAATGATAGGTGAGAGGCAAAAGTAAAAGGTGACAGGAGTAGGATCAGGATCCTGCATGCAGCTCTTTAGTGACCACCTGCCACATAGAGACAAAAAGAGCTATAATAGTGACCAATGTAAAGAAACAGAAGAACGAAAAGGGGAAAACCAGAGATCTCTTCCAGAAGATCCAAGAAATGAAAGGGAAACAGACCAAGATTAGGGAGGCTGAAAGATCAAAAGGGGAATGTATGAACTGATCAGGATAAAATAAGTAGAAACAATGTGTGTTATGTGGTTTCAAGTCACATCCCCTTTACAGTGACTGTAACAGGGGTTTCAAGAGAAGTCATACTGTGTATTTGAATGGTTTTACCAGGGGCACCTCTTGTGCGTTTCTGTGTTTAAGCAGAGATTTGAACCCAATTTTCTTGAGTTCTAGTCAGCCACTCTGTCCACTCCACCACACTGGAGGCCAGAAACAATATGTGGAAGAACTATATGAAGAGATGCATGGATGACAGATTTCTTCAAAGAAGAGTAATTTGATAAAGAAAGCAAAGTAAAAACTATTACGAAAACAGTTGGGAAAAATAAATCACAGGGGCAAATGGGATGCCAACAGATTTATTTCAAGCTACTAAGACTGAATCTATTCGAATCCTAACAAGAATTTGCTAAGAGTTATACATTTAAAAAAAAGGCCTACAGACTGGAAGCATTCAATATACATTCTAATCCCAAAAGAAAGGAAATCCAAAATTACAGGAACTGTAATGAAAAGTAGACTGAGACTCAGAAGGAACTGAAAAAGATCCTAAAGTGCACAGCTGTGTCACTGGAGTACCACGGTTGTATTATCAGTTACTATGGAAGCATGCCAAAGGTGGACAGCAATAAGTCAGCAGCACATGACACACAACCAGCCTCCTGTCACAATAATCGAAGTGGCCAGATCTTGCTGGGCATGGAAGTTTCACGAGGAGAGAACGCTCCTGCCTCCTCTTGGGTCTCTGCACTTCCCCTCTGGGAAGCAAGGTCGCTCTGGGTTTGTTCCTTCCCTGCCCTGCCCTAACCCTAACTCTCTCCCCTGTCCTTGAGAACCATTTTTGTTGGTCCGCTGGGTGCATCCAAGGTGGGATCCTTGAGGGAAACCGAGCAGCGGGGCCACCTGTGCTTCTGCCAAGATCCTCCCCCTCTTCCTCCTCCCGGCTTCATTCCCCCCCTTGGGAACTTCGCTGGGCTGGGCTGATGTCCCCTCTCGGCCCTGAAGAAGAGGCGGAAGCGGGACTGCCCCGGCCAGACTTGCTTCTTCTCATCCACCCCTCCCCCTCCCCCCCCACCCCCAGCTGGCAGCAGC